CCACATCACGAAATGGATGTTTTTCCACACCACCTCCTCTACGTTGGAGCCCAGTGTGGGCGATGTGTGCACCACCTCCTCCATTAGGCTACCGGTGCACCGACAGAGTGGACGGGTAGGCCATGAAATGAATGTCATATGTTTAGTGATCATATATATAATACTTGAGTCAATGTATGTTTGTTTTTGTCATAAACAATAGTTAATGTTGTGTAATGTGTATTCAGTGTGTATTGATCAGGGTCGTGTGACCATGGTACTCACAATTGATATAGTATAGTGGTCTTTCCCGCGTTATCAAGACCAATTATCACTAATTTGTGTTCTGCAATACAAGTACAATATAATTAGTATTATATCTGAAATCAATAAGAAAATTAATGGTATAATAGGTGCATGGACATTGTACAAATACTATAGTTAAACATGACCCTGCACATATCGGACAAATTATATTATACATACCTTCGTGAGTAAAATAACTCCAAAGTCTGGAGAATAAAAGTCCCATAATTTTTGGTACAATTTAATAGTATTTAAGATATGGTTAACTAGTTTTAGACACGAATTGAGTCCACGTTTTTTGTATCCGGATTAATTAAATCGTATATTCACTATAATCACAATGAATTAAAAAATACTTGACAACACAAAAATATATAATATATATACAGTGCACTTTTTGTTATAATTATACAGTTTACTGAATTCAACGATAACTGAATGAATAAAAGAAATTAAAAAATATTTTTACTGTTAATAAAACTGGTATTTATTTAATCATATGATATGATAGGCTCAGTGTTTGTGTGATATTTTCCAAAACCAAAATCAATTTCAAAATCAACACACAATTTCACATTTATTGTGGTATAGCATACAAATTACAAATATTATTGATACTAGGTACAGTACAGACCAAGCGGGTACTCAATGGTAAACGTGGATCAGTTTAAACACATTTTCACACTTTATGTTTTCGTATTGTGTTTTAATTAATGAAATTTAATTAATAATATATTTTTGAGGTTATAATACAAATACAGTGTTTGTTTCAATGCTATGTTAACACACGAGTAGTCAGTGATTGCATTGAGTTTGCACTACACATACACTATAGCGTTACGATCACAGTAATAACGTGGTTAATTAACCGTAATTACTAATTAGCGAGGTTAACGCTGAAATTTATTAATCGATTAGTTAAAAATAATTATTTTAACTTGATATATATTAACTGCGATTTAAAAAATACTGTATAAGACACGATAAAAATATAAATGAGGTATGTCACATAAATAATTGAGGCAACAGTTATTTGCGAGTAGTAAAACGCGTTTAAAATGTGGGTTAGCGTCTAGTTATTAAACTAAAACAAGTAGTCAAGGGTTATACGAGTTTTTTTCATAAAGATTTTTTCTATCATATTTAATTTTTACTCATATAACAGTTCCCAATTCAAAAAACAACATTTTCTCAATGCTATGCACTAGACTTATTGTGTGTGTTGTCTGTGTTTTGGCATTTATTTGATTGAATTAAGTTTATGTCTTAATAGTTCACTCATAAATTACGTGATTTACGGTTGTCAAGCTCAATTTCCGGAATAAATTAAAATAAGCATAAATCAATAAATTGGGGTGTGTGAATGACCTAGACGTAATTTGTTGTAAATAGAATTTACCACTGGGGTCCCCAGTCTGGGGACAACCAATAAGCCATAATACACTATATTAGCGTAAAATAACGCTATCTTACACAATAAGAATTGATAATTGGTGTAGATAGCTTAATTAAAATAAACTATATTAGACAATTTGAATTGTACATGCTAATTCTTTTAAATTAGCTTTTTATTCTTATTCTAAATTAAGTTAAATATATTTAAAAGCAGTGTTTATGGCATTTCAAGAATGACAAACATCTCGAGAGTCATACAATTCAAGGGAACGACACTATCGCTGATAATACGGGGGATATTCGGGGGCAGAGATAGAGGGGGGGATGGGAGTGAAGGAAGTGAGTGACGTCACCCCACAGACAGAGCCAGAGATACTGTTCCTCTCAATAACACAAAACATAAGGATTGAGTCAATAAATTACGTCACAATATGTCTGACGTGTGTTCACGCCATTCAAAGTCCTATTGTATATCCTTCAATGGCAACACTAAGCAACCAGGGACAACTTACTCATGTGTACGATTGTACGCGTTTTGCATGAGACGGGTCATTAAACTTATAATATTTTGGTGTACGTTATTTGTGGAGTGCGTGTATTATAAATTAAAAAATCGGACTATATTGTGTTATTGTTGAATTAATGTGATCTGTCTCAATTAGCTCCCTGCTCACTATGTGCGCGTGAGCTTGCTGCAATAATTTTTAATTTTTGCTGTGTAATATTTATGTAAACTCACATGTGAACTCCACCTTGTTACATTATTTGTTTCCAAACTAATTGTTGTTATGCTGTTTAGCCACTCATGAGACCATAGTTTGCAATGACTAACACTGTTATGAATTAATAATAGCATCGATAGTAATACTAATGACTCGTTTCACGCATTCATTAATGCATTGAATTGTTTGATAAAAATATATAAAGTTTTCATTCATTGATGAAATTGTAATCAAAATGACATTTCATTCGCACGAATACCTATCCGTTGATTATTAGCCGTATTATAGGCTAGCATTTGATCCGCCAATTGGTCACAAAATAGCGACATTTTTATGTCCACTACTCACCAGTGTATTCGTGATACGAGTAGTCTGTTTGTAGCACATAAATCACCTATATCAATCAAAAAAAGTTTAATCGTAACTAGCATCATTTGCGATTTGTATGTGTATTTTCATGTGAATTACAAAAATCAAAGTGTCAGTCATGAAATTAGCTAGCTACTTTCACTACGAGCTAATTTCGTAGCGCACGTTACCCATGAATTGACTAGTTAATAAATATAACCTAGTTCATAATTAGTGAATACAATGCATAATATATTCAAAAAGAAATCCAAACACCGTTTGAGTAATAAATCGCTGAATAATAACAATAATAACACAAATGGTATCCAAAGTAATGGCGTTTCCAATGGGGGTCCCAGTGGTGGGCCGGGAGGTGGTGGTGGGGGTCAGTCGTCGTCCAACGGTCACCACAACCATCACCACACGGGTGGCAGCGGTTACGCGGCCTCTCATCAGCACCAGAAGCACTCGCACCGGCAGCCGACGAGTCACTCGCCCCCACCCCCACACCCGCCCCACTCGATCAGCGCCTCCACTCACTCGCCGCTGAACCCATCGCTCACGAAGACCACCATAAACTTGACGAACGGACTGCTCGTGAACCCGGCCGCCCATCAGAGCACCGGTAGCCCAATGGGTGGCAAATCGCCGGCAGTGGCGCCGCACATGTCGTCGATCGGCACCACCACTACCACTGCCACCCCGTCCACTGGCGCCGGGGGCACGACGTTCACCAACATTGAGTACGTGCTGACCACCCCCTCCACGACTGTCAGCCCCCTGTACGCCAACCCCATGTCAGACATTCCGCCACCGCTTCCGCCGAAACAGAAACAAAAACTCCGCAAAACCTTTGCGCCGACAATAGCCACGAGTGTCTCACTGCCTACCGGTGCCGCCAGCAGTAGCCCATCCACGCCTCCCAGCGTCGCCCATCACTTACACAACCCGATGGCCGCTAACAAGTCGTTACGTACGCAACAGTCCCTTCCGCAGCACCACAAACCTCTTGAGCGTATGGTAGCCAACAGTCTGGACACCGGGTGCAGCACCGGTAGCACAGGAAGCAACAGCTCCAGCACCACCACCACCGGTAGCTCCACTAACGGCAGTAGTAGTCATCTGAATGCCATCACCGCTACGCCCACCACAACCACCAACTCAGCCAATAACGCGACAAAACATACGCCACAAGTGGGACGGGAGGGCCGGCAGGACTCGGGCGATGAGAGCTCACCGCCGCCCACACCACCCATACGGCAGCGAATTACTCGACCCAACCATCTGTCGACCGCTACTCCTCACACGACAACTACTGTACCCATTATTACCGACAATCAGTTTGTGAGGCAGTCTTTGGTGTCGGCAGTGATGGCACCGTTAGCCACACCCGACCACGAGTTGGCTACCAGTTCCTCAGCCGATGCCTGCGATCAGTACTCCGCAGATGAGGGCACCGATAGTGAGGGCCACTCATCAGTTGATGATATTAATGTGTGCAATGGTTGTCACCACAACTGTTCCGACGAGGAGTGCGGGTGTCATGAGGGCGAGGATGTCTTACACCACACGATGGACAGGGAGGTCGACGAGGAAGAGGACGATGTGGGACAGGAGGCCGAGGATGTGCCGCCCAGTTTCGTGTCCGAGTCCGAGGTCTATAACGCTTTTGCTATAATTAGCTCTCTCTCTCTCTCTCTCTCTCTCTCTCGTACTCACTCACTCTCACTCCTACTCCCTGTCCTCCCATTCCCTGTAAATATAGTTTTATAGTTCAAACAAAAAGTTTTTTATTTGATTTATACATTTAATTGGTTTCGTTTTTCAGTAAAACAAATATTAGTTTTGTTATACGTTTTACAGTTAAATATAACTGTGTTTTCACTGTTTACACAATGATTTGGTATTTTATGTTCACTATAACGAACCGATACTATTAAATGTGATACAAATATCCTTCGCACAGTACTGTGTTTTTGCATAAAGGAAATGGTAGTGAGAGGACTGGTATTTGATTTTTTATGTTTAGTATGCTATACACTGGCATTCCAGTGCAGTATACATAGACAGACAGGAATTGGTTATAAATATATTTAGCTATAATTCCCGATACATATATTGTTGTGTGAATTACATACACACACAGGAATTGTGAGTATTAAATATCGGACTTATTTTTAGTGCAACTTTTGATTTATTTAACGATTAGTTGTGAACCAAAATACATGTTGAAAAGTATTAGTCGTTTTGTTTTGTGCCAAAACTCGTATCAAGAATTTTGGTGTTATTTTAAATTATCTGAGAAATCGCTCAAAAGTTGTTTAAAATCATAGACAAAATTATGGGTTAATAAATGAGTGCAATATTTTAGTCTCTCTCTCTCTCTCTCTCTCTATCTCTCTCTCTCTCTGTCTCTCTCTCTCGAAATTATTTTATTAATTATTTATAAATTATTCCAATATTTAAACAGACATTTGGTGTGAATATCACATACGATGACCTCAACGGACATACTGTTCACTCATCGCAAGAAGACTTCGAGCAGACCATCGATGAGGAGGAAGAAGAGGACGATTTGGTCGACGATAACGAGTGCGAAGAGACGAATACATTGAGTGGGAGTCCTATTCCCGACGATTACGGCACTCACGAGTCGGACGGTGCGCTCGACCATCAATCCGAGTCACGACAGCAACAGGTGGTGGACGACGACGACGAGGAAGACATTGATTTGTGTCACAACTCTAGTGATAATATTACACAACAGACAGACGAGGAAGTGGTCGCCGCTGTCGACGATCTCTCGGATCAGTTGGAAGTGTCGGTGCGCGTGAAGGAGAGACCGCGACACAGACCCCGGACCTCTGTGCCCACACCCGACCCCTCAAGTGATATACAAATTAGTGATAATAATAGAGACGACAGTGAATTACATCCCGTGCCGGATGTGGTCATCAGTAGACAACAGCCAGACATTTGTGGCGCCAATTCGTCCATTAGTTTCGTGAATCAGACACAAGACAGTACTTCCAGCGCTCATCACATACCGCCGCCACCACCCAAACAAAGGACTACTGTTCCCAACGCACAGACACCGGCGGTTCCCTCCGTTGATACGATGCCGGCGCCCATAGAGTGTGTGGATAAGGCCCACAAAATACAGCACCACAGCTCCGGCGGTCACAATACCGGTGCGCCCAATGGTCACGATGTGGGACCCGAAGTGAGTCACCGGCGGCTCGAAAGGGTCGGCCACCAGAAGAATCACAGGAGAACCGTATCCATAGGTTTGGGAAATTAATTATTTTTGAAAAAGTTTTGTTTAATTCAGTGATTATTTGTGTTATATTGAGGGAAAGGTAGCCTTTTGTATATTATTCATATTAGGCAATCATATATTGAATGGAATTTTTATTTATAGATAAATTAGATCAAGGTATAATTTATTATGATTTTTTTCGGGTACAATATTCTCACATGAGTTCACTGTATTTGTTCACAAAAATTTTTGCCTTAAGTTTTAGGTTTAGTTACCATTAGTTGAGTAGTATTTGTGAAAATGTCTTATAAAAAACCATTCATTCATTCAGTCATTGTCTGTGAATTGAATTAACGTTTTGTTTTTTGACTGAAGATTTAAAACCTCTTGTTTTTTGGGATAAAATATATTTTGTGTGAAAACTCTGCAAAAATTCTCGATTTAATGTTTTATTTTTAACCGGTTTTGTGGGGTTTTAATGTTTTAATGCGATTTCTCAATGAGAAAACAGTGTGTAATTAAAAATGTATAAAAAACATTAGACAAAATGATTTATTATATTTGTATCCCTATCCCATCGGTTTGGTTCATTCACAACCCCTCCACACCCCCTCCCCCGCGCACACACTCTCCCATCCCTTTTCATGAGTTATAGTTTTGGGACAATTTTGTGGAAAAATTATATTTTAATTTATTTCTAAATCTAATAATAATAAAAAGTGTTGCGGTTTTTCATGGTTTTTGTTTCTCAAAGTTTAACGACTTTTATGTAACTTATAATTTCGATTCAATTCAATTCAATAACACTTTTTGTGTCAAACACTTGATCGCAAACCTCATTATATGTATCGAAACGTTTGGCTGTTTTGTGTACACTATTGGCCATCAAAAAAGTTGTCACTTTTTTGGGCAAAAGTTTTAGAAAATGTTTTTTCTCTTCATTTCTATTCTTAAGTGTAATACAATCGACGACTAGTAACGAGTTTTTTGATTGCATTTTTGTGTCTATTATTAATGTATTGACTCTAAGCGGGCTATAAGTGCGACAAATATAATGTACTTTCAATTCAATTATACTTTTTTATCGTAACTTATAATTTGTATGATTTAGTGGTATTGTGTGGTAAAGTCCCTCAAACTCTGTCGTCGACTGTCGAAAGTCATTGACTCTCGTATTCTCTGAAAACGAGCTACCGTTCCCTTCCCAGTCCCCTCACTTATACTATATAATATTGACTGTACATTTTTTGTCTCATTATTATATAATCCATAGTATGATTTCAAGTTTATTAACACATGTATAATATGTACGATTCGTTTCACTTATGATATTAATTTTTATTTACTATTAATGTGTGTTTCACTCAATTGTTTTATTCACATGAATAGCCAATATATGGGAAATTTTTTCGTTAGCCTTTTGTTTAGTGTCGCAAAAGTGTTTTCCATTGACTCCGTATACAAATCAATAGAAAAGTATATCTGTTGTGTGGATAAAGTTTGCTGGTGTGTCTGTCAGCTATAGGGACAGGTATACCACCACATCTGCTGTCTGTCCCAAAACAGTGATGTGTGGGTCTTATTGTGTGTTTGGAAAACAATTTTTGAATGAATTTTTCGCTCAAATGTTGGCGAATATATTGTTATGAAATACTATTGTGTTTCCCATATGTCTAGTGTTTTGTTCGTATTTGAAGTTTTGAGTGACTTTTGTTTCAAATTTGTGAGTGCAATGAGTGTTAATTTTGTTTTTTATTTGCTTGAATATTATTTAAATGTGTGATATATTGGAAATTGTAGTGCATTTGGAAAACAATATATTTTCGATTTCGAAATAATTTTCATGAATTGTTTGCCACTTAATATAATAAGACTTTTGCCATATTTATAAGAGATTATTGTAATTATTGTGTCAAATGAAAAGTCTATTCATACGTGTGTTTTGATTGAAAACTTTATAAGTTTTTGATTGATTTTAAACAGAAATGTTATTTATTTAATCAATATAATTATCATTTGTGCGAAAAAACATTTTCTGATGTAATAATTGCGGCCATAATTAGTGGATTTGAATGAATGAATGGTTTTTTGATAATCGCTAAAATCAGTGAAAAATTTACATACATTTGCAAAACCTAATGATTTTAATGCCAAACAAAAGATTATTTCATTGAATACACAATCGATTCATAACTTTTTGATTGAATGACAAATATATTGAAAATAATTTACAAGTTTTTTGTGCGAAATATAATGAAAACATTGCGATTAATAACGATTACGTTGACTGAAGGTCCGACCCTATCATCGGTCGTACGGGACAGCAACGGCACCGGTGGTAACGGCGCGCCTACCGGTCCGGCAACGGTGAACAGGTCGGCGACTATCACGCGATTGCCGTCTATACCGGAGCGGACGGTTAGGTACCAAAGGATATCGTTGGACGAGTCGTTGCCGACCAACTGGGAGGCCAGGATCGACGCCCACGGGAGGATCTTCTACATCGACCACTCAAACAGGACCACCACTTGGTCCAGACCCCAGCCCTCACAACACCAGACCCCTCAACAGTCTACTACCACTGCCCAGACTAATGAGTCCATACAGAGGCAACAGTTGGACAGACGGTTAGACCCCTTACTGTTATCATAGCACATGATATTAGGCATTATATGTGTGGCTATTAATAGGTCTCCCCTTTAATGACATACACGTGCCCTTCCGTTCCTGAAATAATCATTATTTTAATGTTTTTTATTGCAATTATTTAGTTATCAATCGATAAGGCGTACAATGACTGGCCGGGGATCACGTGATTTCCACGCCAACGGCACTAAAGCTAAAAGCCCTGCCATCACGACCCCCACCACTACTGCCACCGACAACAACCTGTTATCGCCGGGCGATGGCGTCGATGGCCAGACACACAGCACGCAAACCACTACTACTAACATAACGAGTACAACACAAACACCAGTTCCTACGGCCACAGTCAGCACCAGTAGCAGCAGCGGGCAGACCGCTCCGGCAGGACCGGCACCGGGCGCTCCCGTGAACCCGTCGCGTGTGATCCTCGACCTGCCGGCCGTCCGGTTCCTGACTCGGACCGACTTCTTCAATGTGATGCACATGAATGACGAGGCGTTGGCTCAGTATAACAGCTCCTCTTCCCTCAAACATATGGTCACTAAAGTGAGACGAGAGGGTCAGCACCAGCACACCGGCGCCTTCGAGCGCTACCAACACAACCGAGATTTAGTGTCACTAATCAATAGGTTCGCCGAAACGCACCGGGAGTTGCCATCAGGTATGTGTCGGCCATACATGTGGTCCACTATTGCGTGTAATTATATGATTGAAATTAATTGATTTTTTTCGTTGCCTTTCCGGACGGTTAGGCTGGGAGTCAAAGATCGATAAGACGGGCAAACAGTTCTTCATCGACCACACCAGCCGTAGCACCACATTCATCGACCCGCGCCTACCCCTCGACGTGCCAGTAGTCAACCCACACAAACTGGTGTTAGCGCCCAGTCGTCGTCGGGTGCGGAACACCATTACCGGTGACAACAGTGATAATCAGGAGGAACCCGGCGGTAGCGCGTCGTCACCGATACCGCCGCCCAGACCCCCGTCGACGTCCACGTCGGCCACCACACCCACCTGCGCGCCTACGGTTCCCACTGCCTATAACGACAAAGTGGTAGCCTTTCTAAGACAGCCTAACATAATGGACATACTGTGTGAGCGCCGGCCAGCCGTGAAGTCCAACTCCAATCTGAGAGACAAAGTGCATACCATTCGCTCCGATGGGACGTTAGCTTTGGACCGGTTTAGCGACGATCTCGAGCTCACGATATTGTTGTCGCTCTTTGAGCAGGAGATCATGTCTTACGTGCCATCCAGTGATCAGTTGAAGCACTTGACCCCCAGTTCCTCATCACCGCAAGCGTCGCCTCAAATCCAGAGATCACAGGTTTGTTGACGAGAGAGAGAGAGAGAGAGAGAGAGAGACTTACTATTGATATATGGATTTCATATCGTATTATCTTATTTTTTAATGACCAGATCCGAGTGGCACCGACACCTCCCGCCCCATACCGACGCGACTTTGACGCCAAACTACGTAACTTTTACCGTAAACTGGAGCAGAAAGGTATGGGTCAGGGACCCAACAAAATGAAGCTAAATGTTAGGCGGGATCACCTCCTGGAGGACGCGTTCAGCAAAATAATGGCCGCAAATAATAAGAAAGATCTCCAGAAGTCTCGACTTTACATATCGTTTGCAGGGGAAGAGGGTCTCGACTACGGCGGGCCCTCCCGGGAGTTCTTTTTCCTACTGTCCCGCGAGCTATTCAACCCATACTATGGGCTGTTTGAGTACTCGGCCAACGATACCTATACAGTGCAGGTATGACTAGACTTGTCTTTTATTAAATTACCTTGTTATAAAAAAATTATTACTTAAAATTTATATAGGTTAGTTATTTATAACTTATAATTTAAATTATTTACGCTTTATGAATACCGGTATTAGGGGTTGATCTTATATATATAACTTAATTATTTTTGCCGTAATTAGAGTAGGGTTCATTTAGTTTTAATAATTTTTAATTTTATTTAAAATCTATCATTTGTTTATAACTCCTTAAAGTACTAGAGTTTAGATCTAATAAATCACTTCTAAATCTCTTTCTAAAGTAAATTACAAATTAAAGATTTAGAAAAATAATAATTAAAGAGTTATTTAGATTCGTGTTTAATATGTTTATCATTAATACTCAAATTATGTGCATTTTGTGGGAAAGGTGTCACCGATGAGCGCGTTTGTGGACGACTGTCACGAGTGGTTCCGGTTCTCGGGCCGAGTGCTGGGTCTGGCGCTCGTACACCAGTACCTGTTGGACGCCTTCTTCACCCGTCCCTTCTATAAAGCACTCTTACGACTGCCCTGTTCTCTGTCCGACTTGGAGTACTTGGACGCCGAGTTCCACCAAAGCCTACTCTGGCTCAAGGATAACGACATCACCGACATGTGGGAGAGTCTGGACCTCACCTTCTCGGTCATCGAGGAGATCGCCGGACAGATAGTCGAGAAGGTATGTGCCATTTGTCGCATCTTTCCATACACGCCATTATTGACTGTAATTTTGGTGATTATTAGTTAATAGTTAATGAGTTCTGCGAATAAAACTTTAATTTAAATTTAATTTATTTCATAAGTTCAGAGAAATGTGTTTTTACTTTATGAAAGTTTTTTCGTAATGTTGTTTATTGAGTGAAAAGTTTTGATATATCGTGTGAAAATATAATATTTTTCAGGATTGAGTTCATTATTATAAGGTTAATGTAATAAAAGTTTTAATGATAAATATTACTTTATTTATTATAAAGTCCAACTGTACTTAAAATTACTTTAAAATTTATAATAAGTCAAATGTACCTGTAGTTTACCGATAATTAGATTTGAAAATATAGACCGAAAATATCTTAAATCATTTACTGCTGTTTCAATAGATTAATAAGTTGTACAAAAATCCCAAATATAAGAATATAAATCTGTTTAATAGAAAAAATTAAATATTTCTTAAAATTATTATTATTTTAAAAATTATTTAATACCTCATGAACTCTCATTTTATTGATGATAAACATTTTCCAACATTCAAAGCCAATGGTATTTTTGGCACATTTTTCTAGTACTCCGATAACCTATCAATACAATAAACACATATTTAAAATATTTTAAGCAATTTGAAACATGTTTATAGTAAATAGTTTCAAACATACCTTAAGTTTATAAACAATTAGAGTGTAATTCTTAACACATGTAACCATAAGTCTGCATAATATGCCATAAGTTTTGTTTGTCTCATTGTAGACAAGTGTTGCAGAAATGCAGATAATTAGCGATAAAATTAATAACACAAATGTTATATAAATGAATACAATTTGCCAATATAGCTCTAAGTTGCCAAATAATATAATATATAAGTCAAGTGCTATTAAGTAACAAAATCCAAACCATATGATGAACAAGAATTTGCACCAAAAGATGTTTAGTTTAGTAAATACTTTGTGTTTTGAATTTATGCCGTAAACTATTCTTGGTATTTGTTTTTCAATGGTAAATCTTGTCGGGCATTTACACCAGTGTTTTAGTTTTTCATTTAATATTTTGAATTCAATTTTATAATAATGTGAAACTAATAGAAAATATAATAATAAATAGAAATATGTATTTAGTATGTAAATAGCATTCAATAGTAGAATTGGTGCCCAAATAGTGATATAAATTACTAGATAATTTACTGAACAGTTTAGCACATATATAAATATTGTAGATGAGACTACAACTAATGGAAACAATATCGTATTAAAATATTTTATGTATTTTAGTAATAATTTTGTTTTTAAATCCAATGATTGTATTGATATGTCTACTGTTTGTCTATAAATTTTATCATTAGTATTATGAATAAAATTTGTTGGCATAAAATATCTGACAAACAATATCTGTATTGACATAACTTGTAGTAGGTCAGTTAAATTCATTAGATTTATACCGGATTTGACTTTCCATTTAAAACTATAGTCACCGATAATAGCAGAATATTCTTCGCTATTTACTAATAGTGATGTGAATTGTTGTATAAATGTCATCAAATTCATAACAATTATGAAGTTTGGATTAAATAGAAATAAACGTTGTTTTGAACCACATTTTATATTTGATATGCCTGTCCGGTAAAGCACTTGATTTAAATATAGCACATTTGTTTTGAGCCGATTTTGACTTTTAATTAAATTTTGAATTGAAGTTTTAGCCATATTTCACATTACATGCATAAGACTATTTTATCAATGCTATAAATTATTTTGGTTGGAAAATAACTTTATTGGTTTTATTTTTGTTTAATATAAAAAATCGTTATATTTTCGAAATCAATGTGTTTAATGATTATAATGACAATATTAATGTCATTTCTGTTTTCAAATATTCAAAATGCTATTAAATATTTATTGGAAAGTAATTTAAATGTCATAATCTTAAAATAATATAAAATCTATTCACATGGCTATTGAGAAACTTTGAATACAATGAAAGCATACAATATATACCTATATATAAATTAATGTTAACTAACATATGGTTGTTGTATGGCATGGGGAACAGGAGCTGAAGACCGGTGGCCGTAATATAGCCGTCACTGAGCGCAACAAAAAGGAGTACATCGAGAAGATGGTGAAATGGCGTCTGGAGAGGGGTGTTGTCGACCAGACCGAGTCAATGGTCAAAGGCTTCTACGAAGTGATCGATCAGCGGTTTGTCAGCGTTTTCGACGCCCGGGAACTGGAGCTCGTGATCGCCGGCACCGCTGAGATCGATGTGTGCGACTGGAGGAAGAACACGGAGTACCGGAGCGGTTATCACGACTCCCATCCCGTTATCCAGTGGTTTTGGTCGGCGATTGACCGCAAGTTTGATAACGAACAGAGGCTACGGCTCCTACAGTTCGTCACCGGCACCTCCTCTATACCCTATGAGGGCTTCGCGGCGCTCCGGGGGTCTAACGGCCCGCGAAAGTTCTGTATCGAGAAGTGGGGCAAACCTACCAGTCTTCCTAGGTATGGGTGCTATTTGTGATTATTTATTATACGTGTACATCTGTTTTATGTACATCCCGTCCCTCTATATGTTAGTGTTTTATGTATTATTTACTAATTGCTTTATTTTTGGTTGACATACCAGAGCGCACACGTGTTTCAATCGGTTAGACCTACCGCCCTATTCCTCGTTTGATATGCTTTACGACAAACTCTTGTTGGCTGTCGAGGAGTCGTCCACTTTTGGCATCGAATAGGGAAAGGGATTTACAGTTCAAGACAATGATGACATGGGCTTCAAGACATACATACCTTAACCCACCGGCCGATTGAATAACTGTCTGTTTTCTTGGCCTAAGCATATATGGACAGACAGTTTAGGTGATAGGCCGGTGCACTCATGTATTGTGTTATATACCGTACATGACATTCGCATAATGGATAGGGATCTCAATGAGACTACAAATATTTCTATATACGACATGACATACAAGTGATGTGTGGAAATGGATGTTAAATATTAAAGTCATTTACATATTATTATTGATTAAATAAATTTATTATTAAATAAATACAAAAACTACATTAAAGTTTGTATAAAACCAAATGAATTTTAATTTAATTTTTAATATAATTTTTTTCAATTTATATATTACTTATGATTTTTGAAAATTTTACATTTAGATATATTTTGACACAATTTTGAATTTTTATATTTAATTTTAGTCTATTTTTTGTGTGTATGTGGTCCACCCCCTGGGGGAGGGCCCCCTTAGGTTTTTTCTATTGTATGTATGTGTGTGAGTGAGAGAGCACTTGTATTATATTAAATGACAATTTAGTTTATTTAGACATTTATTTTAAATGAATATTAAATTTTTCAAATGTTTTTTCAATTGTATGTAATATTTATGCCTTAAATATATGATTAAAAGATTTTTATTTATGAAATTAAAAATAAATATTTCCCATAAAATCTGTTTTGATTTATTCATGCTTATAAAATAATTACTAATTTTTAAAACTAACCTTGTTTCAATGTTCAACCATATAGTGAATTTAAATTATTTAATGAGATCCACGAGTTTCACAAATAATGTGAACACATATTATGAGGTCTGCTGTATTGCACCTATATTTTGCAGTCCATATGATTATTATCGGTTTTACCAAAATATCTAAATATGTTTTAATATGCTATATGCTAAATAATTAAAATTCGTTGAATTATTTACAAGTTATAATATTATATAATAACTTAATTTAAAAGTTTTAAAAACGTGTAGATGCACAAAGAAAAGTAATTAAGTAATTCACTATTGCAACATTAAATTGGGTAAATGATTTTATATTAAGCTACACATTATATAATTTAGATTTCATCATAATTGGTGATAATTAGCATAATAAAGATTAATTTATTATGATACAAAGTAATTTGAAAGCATTCATTAATGTTAGTCAAATTACATTCAAAGGGAAAAACTCTAACAAACTGCACATAAAAATAAAACAATATAAATATCTATAAAAAAATTCCAATATTTAATAGTTATTTATACTTATCTCTTTATACAGATATTAATACATTTTTAGAAATGTGTGGGAAATATATTAAATTTAATTTAATAAGAAATAAAACATTTATATCCCTGTACAATTTCTTAATTGATGCATTTAAAAGGTATATAAGCAACAAAAGCAGTCCAAACGTTTATCACAATAGACTGTATGTCTGAAAAATATATTTTATAAATATTTTGAAATAATATCGAAAGCTATGTCTGACTCGGATATAGTGATCAGTGGAATGAGTGGTCGGTTCCCACTGTCGGACACCACCGATGAGTTCGCGAAGAATCTGTTCGATGGCATCGATATGGTTACCGAAGGAGACTCCCATTGGCCCAAAGGTTAGCCATTTGAGTCAATCAGAGTATAGTCAATTAAATGTAAAGCTAAAATTTTAACATTATAATATAAAGTTAATTTTTAAAATATTACAGGTCATTTATTTTCCATAAAATATTTTTAGCTCATTTACAACTACGAAACATACATATATTTGATACTATTATACAATATATACTAGAAAATATAAACTAGATAATGTCAAATATACTTAAACAAATCAAAACCATGAAATATAAATTAACAAGTAATCTTTTTATGCTAATAATAATTTGATTAGATTTATACGACATGTCCGGCCGAATGGGACGTATCGTACAGTTTGACAGATTTGACGCCCAATTCTTTGGTATGACTGAGAGTATGGCCCATAAGTATAACCCTCAACTGCATATGCTATTAGAGTCGACCTACGAGGCCATTGTAGACGCAGGTATATGACCTCTCATAAAATCAAATAGATAGTTTTGTAACGAATAAATTTGCACAATAGGCATAAACCCGGGTAGTCTGAGAGGCAGTAGGACTGGGGTATATTGCGGTGTCATTATGTACGCCAAGTGCGATGGGTATCAGGAGTACGCACAGCCCGACCACAGGGCCAGTCTCAACGATACGATGATGGAGGCCATCAACGGCGCCAAAGCCTTCTACGCGGCCCGTATGGCCTTTGCCTTTGACTTCAAGGGCCCGGCTATTATCGTGGACACCGCCTGTTCATCGAGTTTGAGTGCATTTGCAATGGCCGTCAATGATATGAGATTAGGTATTGTATGGTAATTACTCTGAAAAAATTTTTAATAATTATAATTTATAAATCTGACCAGGGCAAATCGATTACGCTATAGTGTGCGGCACTCACATGAACTTAGAGCCGATGATCTATCAGTTACAACAGGAGTTAGGCTTTTGTTCGCCGAGAGGTATATCCGCCGTATTGGACGAGTCGGCCGACGGTTTCGTGAAGGGAGAGGCCGTGTGTTGTGTTCTCCTACAACGCCGTAAGAGCGCCCATAGGG